CTTCCATCTCAGTTAGCTTCGCCATTATGAATACTCTAAATTCTTTATCAGACATTTCCATGATTTGCAATGAACTGCTTGTGGATGAAGAGGAGTTATTCTTTTCCCTTGGAGGAGAGGTATTTTCTTGCTTTCCCATATTTCTTGTGGTCCTGCGGTGATTTCTTGTCATCTGATGGATGGTGTGTTTCTTTCGAATTCTTGAAGTTCAATCACGCTAGCTTAGTTTGCTGGAGGCTGAATTATCAGTGGAAAATCTTCGTTTCTCCTGTCCCCTGAAATGACTACTTTGCAGGAGCCATGAGAAATCCTCTTCTGAAGAAAGGCCTCAACTCTCCTGCCATGCTAACTTTGTTTACTGGAGGCTGAATTATCAGTAGAAAATCTTCATTTCTCCTGTCCCCTGAAATGACTACTTTGCAGGAGCCATGAGGAATCCTCTCTCCCCTTTTGTATCTTATATTTCCTTCTGAAGTTATGTATTTTGTATTTCGTCTTGTAAGCCAATAATTTTGAGGCAACTAACTATGTATTATTATGCATTTTAAAAAGTATCTTGTGAATAAAAAAACCCACATATTTTATGTTTTGTATTTAAATTAAAAGACTTTCTTTGTCAATTTTGATGAAGTGCTCCTATTTTAAAAGAAATTAATTTCATTTAAACATTTTATTGACTACATGTTACTTGACAGGTCTCTCTGCTATAGCAATGTGCTGAAAAACTGACTGCCACAGTAGACATTCAGAATCTAAAAACAAGAGAGTTAAAAATAAATAAATAAATAAATAAATAAAGCAAAGTGAAAATAAAGCAAAATACAGTAAAGTGTAGTAAAATAAATTGAAATTTAAAAACAGATTCAGTAGTAACTACTACAATTATGGCTATAGTGTCTGGAAATAAATAATTTGCTTTTTTCCTCCTTCGTTTGTGAATAACAACTTTAAAGAGACATGAATAGCACACCTGAGAGAATAGCAAAACATGAGATTTAGAAGGTTATGATTTTTCTCTGAGAACTTAGAACTATATATTTCATTTGAACAAAAATTTTAAAACTTAAAATAACATTTTTAACAACTATTTCATTTTATTTATCATCATTATTCTGTTATTTATTTATTTATTTATTTATTTATTTATTATTTGATCAGGGAGAGAAAGAAAGAAAGAGAGGAAAAGTGAAAAAGCAAGCCTCCAGGTTTAGAAATCGAACTGCAGTAGGCCATCTAGTACTTTAACCACCACTCCACCTGCCAGACCCAACAACATTATTTTTTAAATTCTAAAAGAATGAAAGAAAAAGTTAGACCAACATATTACCTCAATCATATTAAGCTAAACATAAGAGAAAGCAAAATTTACTGTTGACAAAAGTTAATTTTTCCCGTTTAGTAAAATCATGGATGTTAGTAGTTGCTGATACTGGTATAGTTTTTCAACCATACCATCAAACACCTGTGATCTTCATGTATCTGCATCTCTAACCTCCGACCGTTGACCTTTCATCCCCACGTTTGTCACCACATAGGTCACTGCTGGAGCTTCCGACTGCAAATCCGAGTTCAAACAGAGGAAAATGACAGCGCTTGCCTCATCACCAGCCATGACCTTTCCTTAAAAAGATAGTCTCACAGCACAATTTCATTTATATTTTTTTGGTAGAAAATGAGATATACAGCTACTCCTAACTCCAACATGTAATATCAGTTACATGGTTGAGATGTAGATTTGTCACCTGGTTGAGCATATTTTCAGCTTTGAAAAATTTAGATTATCTTACCAAAGAAAACCAAGGTCACTATCAACTAAGCAACTAAAAAAGCCTATTTCTTTTCTTAATGGACACTGAGTAGCAAGTCACACTTGCATATTTGCAAAACACATTTTTTTTAAAAAAGCACCATGAGTGGAGTAAAATAGTTAGGAGTAGAATATTTAGGAAAATCTCCACAAGAAGTAGTGAGAAACCTATTGATACTGATTAGTACACTAGGGGACTCTTTCACGATAGAAGATAATCAAGAGCATTATAATCTGCCACTGGGAAGGAATGTTACATGAAGAGAGTCGTGCAAATAGCATATATATCAGTTAACATTTTCTTGGTACCCCTCTTTCAATTTGCAGAATTTGATACTCTGTGAGTCAGTCTCACATGGGAAGATTCCCATCTGTCATGGAGACCTTTCTGCATATGCTGGGCATGTGTGTATCCATGATCCAAGGCTGTTTGAGGCCAGAGGTGGACTGCTGTGTCAAGACCTTGTTGGGGGTGTTCTCTCTTGTCTCTCACTCATGGAAGAAACAAATAAAAATTAAAAAGAGGTGGCCAAAGCAGTTAAAAAGAGAATTATGATTTCTACTTGATATTCTAATGAAGAGTTATTATATGTTCTGATCTTTTAAAAAAAAACTTTGCCAGAAAGTGCATGTAGTCACTGGAGAGAGAAGGAGAGAATGAGAGCAAGAGTGAGAGAGAAAGAGAGAGTGAGAAAGGAATAAGTACCCCCTTCGTGGGGTCCGAGCATGCCACAATCCCTTCTCCATTTCTCCTCCCTTTGGGGCACACATGCACCTGCACTGTTCTGCTTTCTCAAGCCACCAGGTCTGGGACTTGAACCACATAGTTGACCATGTGGGACCCAACTGCCTTAACCACCACACCACTGGCTGGCACCTGATCATTTTTAAAAGGAAGATGTTAACTTAGAGAAACTAAACATAGAAAACACAGCATCCCAGTAAGGTAGTGTCAGGGTATTCTCTTACTGAGAAGGTGTCCTGAACACAGTTGAGGGACTAGATTCTGTCACTCAAAGTCATAGCTCAACTATGAGGACATGCGATTAGCACAAAGGGGTTCAGTTTTCACCTTGACTTGGAATCTGCAAGCTCTGTAAGAGTCAGTATTTCTTGTAAAATTTCACAAGCATCTACAGCTTCCATTATCCACTACAAAAGACATGCCAGGTTACAAAAGTAGCCTGAAACAATGATTTCTCAGTGGGTGTTTATAACATATTCATTATCTTTTCAGTCCTGAACACTTATCAATCACAGGTCATTTGTACCATAAACAGTATTACCTAGTAATATTATTCAGGTTTCCAAGGGACCGGAATTAGAAAGTCAACTCAAGGTCAAATTTATCCACAGAGAAAGTAACAAGATTTTGCTTTTGTCACATATGCATTATTTATTTAATATTCACCATAAGCATATGAGGTAGGTGATATGTTCATTATAAAAGGTAGAAGCTAAGAGCAGAAAAGTAAGGTTGTTTGCCTATGGTCACATAACCTTGAGTGTCAAAGCCAGGATTAGACTGAAATTTATTGATTCTTGGGTCCAACTCTTAACCATAAACTCAACACCTTTCATAACTCTATGAGAGGAAAAAATATAATGTAAACTTAGCCATGTTTAGCGAAGTTCCTTAGGTTATTTAGAAATTGAGATACAGCAACTTAAACTATTTGAAGCATCAGATTTTGCTTTGTTATTTTATTTTAGATACTGAAAAAATGTAAAATGATTATTGATGAAGTTGTTTTCCTTGATGAACAACCATCTCTTTTTGCTCCCCCTCCACTCATAACCAGGTTCAAAATAGGCAAATATGCACTGCCTGACAACCTATGTTTATTGAAATTTGGTCAGTTCAATATTTAGATTGTCTTTTCATATATCATGTTTAAGTAACCACTGAGTTTAGTTCAAAATGGAGACGTTCAGATATAAATGAGCTTGGAGCCAGGATGTGGAAATCTCTTTGAGCAGTTCAAACAACTTTCCCAAAACCAAGGAATCTTAAGAACATTCATGATTCAAGTTATAAACTTGAGGCATCAACATTACAACAAAAATATCTACATTCTATCACTCATTCTCTAATCTGCCTTATTAAGTCATTTTATGTCCTTGTCTTTTCCCCAGGGTTAAAATTTAAGTATTTGACAACTGGAATGGCCCAGGCACTAATTGAAACAGAAACTGGTCACAGTGCTGGAGAAGATATCTTATATTCTGCTACTTACTACCTAGTTAACATTATTGCAATCAACTGGCTTCATATCTCTCTGAAACTCAGAGATGAAGACATTATTTAACCATATTTATTGGTGCACATATAGCTGAATCCCACTTGCATCTCTCTGCATTAACTTTCAGTAGATAAGAGGTTTTTAGAAATAAAGAGTATTTATTATAAAACTTAGTTCTTGGAGCATAGTACACTCTTGCAATTTCTCATATAAATGAGATTTGAGAATCTGGAGTTTTGAAATTCTACATTAAAACCCATATTATTTTTCTTGACATATTCATCAATCTCCTTTCTTTTCTCATACTAGATTTTCTCACTTAGAGTCTAAAAGGCTTGGTCTAGAGTGGGCTTGGTCTATTTGTGAAACAGAAACTCCTAGGAAATTTTAAAAATTGTGGCTAGGTTATAATTCAGACATTTTCAATTAAACTCTCCACATATTTTCTAGGGAATCTTCATTAAAAAAACCCCTCAGGTGATTCTTACGTAACTAGTTCGCACTGAGTTTGGAAACCGCTGTAGGGAACAAACTCTTCATAAACTTCCATTTGTATCAGGAGGTCTCCAGAAAATATTTAGTGGGACCAGCAGTTAGCATAATGGCAATGTCACTGGACTCCCATGTAGTCAACTGTGGCTCGAGTCCCAGAACCTGCGACTTAAAACTCATGCCGGGCGCATGTGTGTGCGTGCCCAGGATCCAGAGAGGAGAATGGAGGAGAAGGGATTGAGGTGTGACCATCCCTCTGGGGGTGATTTTTCACTTTCTGTCTCTTTGTCTCTCTCTGTCTGCCTGGCAAGTGCACGTGCCCTATAGCAAAAACCTCTCCCCCCAAAAAAATATTTAGTGAAACTGGAGTAACTGGTAAGTATGATCCCTTTAGGCCAACTCTATGATTCCTTGAGAAGGTCCTGTTAACTCCCTGTTACTTTCTGCACTGCTGTATATTAGTCTGAAATATCCCTAGGATAATGGCATCTGCCCAGCACTGTCTTCCTGAAGGCATCCTTCACCTCTTTATTTCTCAGGCAGTAGATGGCTGGATTGAGGAATGGTACAATGATAGTGTAGAGCACAGAGATGATCTTGTTGTGGTTGAAGGTGTACATGGCCCGGGGCCGGGCATAGGTGAAGAGGGTGGAGGAGTAGTAGATAACCACCACTGCCACATGAGAAGCACAAGTGGAGAAGGCTTTGCAGCGTCCCTGAGCAGTAGGGATCTTCAGGACAGCTGCAATGATGGCAGCATATGATGAAACCACAGCCAGCAGGGGGAGCAGAATCATCACCAGGGCCAGCAGGAAGTCCACTAGCTCTGCTTGCTCCTTGTCAGAGCAGGTGAGGTTGAGTAGTGGGGAGATATCACAGAAAAAGTGGTTGATGATGTTGGGTCCACAGTAGGATAGTCGGGAGATGAAAAGAAGCTTCATCATGGAGCTGAAGAAACCACTGCCCCAAGAGGCAGCAGCAAGGCGGGTGGCCAGACCAGGAGGCATGAGACTAGAGTAGCGGAGGGGCTCACAGATGGCCAGATAGCGGTCATAAGCCATAACTGCCAGCAGGACACATTCGGTGCAGGCTAAGGCAATGAAGAAGTAGAGTTGGGCCATGCAACCTACGTAGGAGACTCTACCATCCTGAGTAACAAAAGATCCCAAGAGTCGGGGAATGGTGACATTGATGTACCACAGCTCCAGGAAGGAGAGATGGCCAAGAAAAAAGTACATAGGGCGATGGAGGCTTGGAGTGAGCCAGACTGTGGAGATGATGAGTGCATTCTCCAACAATGTCAACAGATAAAGTGCAAAAAAGAAGACAAAAAATAACAACTGGAAGGGGGGAGAGGTAGGGAAACCCACCAAGACAAACTCCTCTACATGGCCTCCACTCAAATTTCTCATGATCTCTGTCTGCTTAAGTGCCTGAAAAATAACAGGAAGAGGTTGAAGACAGGTAGACATAATAAGTAACATTCCCTCATAGATTATAACCTCTGGAAATGCTCAGTGGTATATTATCAATTATTACTTTTATTTCATTCACTTTGTTGTTTTATCTCCTACCTGAAGGAAAAGGTTCTTAGGCTTAACAGTTGTAGACAAAAATTTGAAAATCTTAACTACAATAAGTATTTAATAAATACCTAATGAATGATTTCAGAACAGCTCCAGAATTAAAATTTTTGTTTTCTTATCCATGACATGCTTTTCTCTTATCCATTGGGAAAACCTTCAAACTCCTAAACTCAATAGTATTTCTACACAATATTTGTTGAATGACTGAATGAAAAGTGTGGCAGCAAGTTGGACTCATCTCTTAAGGGAAATTGGACTAAAAGAATGTACTAGCTTGGAGAGATTGCTTGAACTATTTTACAAGGAAGCATGGCAGAAAGAAGGTTGGTTTGGAAAGTATTCATTCATGATTGGAGAAACAATTCTGTGTGGAGGAGAAAAAGAAGCTCTGCTCTGGGATGAGGTCATTTTCCCACTCATTTTATAAGTATTTTTGAATAAATTCACTCTGCCAGCTTTAGACTGCCATTTCAAGGAGTCAGGTGATAGTTTGAAAAATGGCCCCTTCGAAAGATGTGCATACTCTATCCCGAGTGTAAATATTGGCAAAGAATTTGCAGATATGATAGAGTTAAGGATGTTGAGATGGGAAGATTGTTTTGGATTATCTAGGTGGACCTTATCTACAATCACAAGTGTCTTTTTAAGAAATAGGCAGATGAAAATCTGAAACGAAAATGCAGAGGAGAAGATAATGTAAAGAAGGAGCAGAGAGAGATTTAAAGAAGTTTGTCTTCAAGCTGGACTGATGTGACAACAACATAAAGGAATGCTTGGAGCCTCTGGAAGGTAAAGGCAGGGAAGGAATCCTCTCTCAGAACCTTCAAAGGCAGCTCAGCCTTGTCACATCCTGAATTCAGCCAAGCGATACTGATTTCATATCATTGGTCTCCAGAATTGTGAGAGAACAGATCTCTGTTGTTTTAGGTTACCAAATTTGTGGCAAATTATTGCAGCAGCCATAGGAAGCCTATGCAGCTGGTGAGACAGCACAGAGGAAGAGGCACTCCTCTTCTCCCCACCCATTCTGCTAAGTTTTTACTGTCAATGTCACCAGTCACCTGGCCCAGGAGAGGTTCTCTGTGCACTTACATGCCTGCCTTGAGATGAGCACATGTTAAAGATAAGCAAGTGTTTTCATTCTTTTTACTTTTTGAGGGATTTTTTTTTTTGCCTTAGGTTACATGGGCTCACTGGAGAGAGAAAGAAAGATATAGAGAGAGACAGAGAGACAGAGAGAAAGAAAGGGAAAGTGAGAAATCCCCACCCACCTCCCCCCTGCCCCTGTGAGGATGGCCATGCCACAATTCCTTCTCCTCAATTCTCCTCCCAGGATTTTGGCATACATGTACACACACCCAATGTGATGTTCAAGCCACCAGGTCCCACATTCGACCACTGTGGGAGTCTAATGATGTAATGCTATGCCATCTGCTGGCCCCGCACTTTCATTCTTGATCAGGCTTGAACTGCGGTCAGCTGTGTGAGACCACCATGACACTCGACTCAAACACTTGTCTTCACATTTTGTTTTCTTTATGAAAATTAAAAGATGATGTACCATCTTTCTTAGTTTTAACTCCACATCTATGTTTAATCAAAGTTTAAACAGTTTCAGAGGCTCACATTTCCACTGCATTGTGAGTATTGACCATTTAAATTAAACTAACTCATCAGCTGATAGAGTAGTCCCTCTTATCCATGGTTTCACTTTCTGTAGTTTGTTACCCCCTGCCAACCATCATCCAGTTAGCCGAGTACAGTACAATAGGATATTTTAAGAAAGAGACCATATTCACATTGCTTTTATTGTTCTATTTAATTGTCTTATACATTTGTTTTACTTTATTAATCACTATTAACCTCTTATTGTGCCTAATTATCAATTAAAACTTTTTATAGGTCTACATGTATACAAAAAACATAGTATGTACAGGATTCAGTATTATCTGTGCTTTCAGGACTCTACTGGGGTTCTTGAAACATCGTTCATGGATAAAGAGGGGGTTCTATGTGTTCAGTGGCATCCAAATATCAGTGCTATGATACCCACTAATACATATTTTTAAAATAACACAATTATATTTTTTTAAAAGATTATTTGTTATAGGACACTTGCACTCATAGGAGAGAGACAACAACAGAGACAGAAGGAGGGAAAGTGAGAAATCACCCTACAGAGGAATGATCACACTGCAATTGCTTCTCCTTTATTCTCTCAGAATTTTGGAGCATGCATACATATGTGTAGAACTTTCAAGCCATTGGATCTGGAATTTGGGCCATAGTCAGCTAGGTGGGAGTCCAGCACCCTAACCACCACTACAAATGCTGCACCCAAATGGGTATATATTTTAAAAATTGAAATTTTACATCACTCATCTCACTGAACTCACGATCCGTGATATTGTAACATATCTTCATAATTTTAAGCCTTGTATTGATTTTTCTATATCCTTGTAAATGATTTTTGTTTCTGGAAGTCTTGAGACTATAAGGGCTTTATAAAAGATGTTTTTCTATTTATTATATAATGAATCAAAGCAACATAAATATATGATAAATTTTGTAAAAATAGACAAAATTTTCAAAAATCTATTGGAAAATCATCTAATAAAAATGTGGTTTCCTTTTTTATTTTTTCATTCTTTTGTGCATCCATGAAAACTACCTACTGGCACAATGAGAAATATTTAAAAACCACTTCCATTTTTGCTTTGCCTGTTGGAGATCAAAACACTGAAAAAATGAGTTCAAATAAGTAAGTGGTATTGAAGTACCATAGCTTTGGGGGTGAAAGTTGTTTTGGTACAATAATAACACTAGATTATTTGAAATTTTTATTAGTTTTGTTCTGGAAATTGCACAGTAATCTATCATCAAAATTATTTTATTGATCTATTTGCTGACAATTCAATTAGCTCCTATTTCACTGTGTTGAAAGAAACAGATCAGAAAACACTGGCTTGTCAATTATTAATCTTTCGTTTCCTCAGCACTGAGATTGGCATTGGCACTAGCTTTCACTCTGGGGCTCTCCCACACAGTGAGATCCAATTATGGCTTTCCTTGTAAATAGTGAGAAATAGTTTTGGAAAGGGAAGTGGAAAAGAAAAAGAAAGACTTTCTCAAGCATGCCAACTTTAAGAACAGCTCATAAGGAGGTTGGAAATTCGGAATTACTCCTTTGGAGCTACTCATGCTTGGACCTTGGAAAAAATGTTTGCACTCTCAAGTATCCATAAATTTCAGTTTTCAAAATTGTGATTTAATATATCAGATACGTTTCTGAGAAAGAGTTTGGAGAGGAGATATGGGTGTTCAGGGAAGGGGCAGGGTAGGAAGAAAGCCACATATGTCTCAGAGGTAGATAATAACAGGATGGTAAAAACTCAAAAATGATGCATGGAAACTTTTAAGAGTCAAGGTAAGGGAAACCAGACGCTAAAGCCCAGTAACCAATGAGAGAAAGTCTGAAAAGAGAGTTCTTGTCACTATTCTGTTCTCAATAAACAGAGCACTGCCAAGAGCACAACAGATACTCAACAAATACTAGTGGAATGAGTATCAGACCTTGAGTGTCGTACTGCATTCAGATACATATTTTATACATTTAGGTAACTGAACTTTATATAGACTAGGCTTTTCGTTTAAGTTGTAGAATTGCATGAAATTTCATTGAAATTCCAACTTAGCCTAAGGTCAGTCCTGAGGGCGAGGAGAGAGAAGTTGGGAAAATGAGTGGAGAGTGGAAAGCAACCTCAGACACTCACTGTTTGCTTCTCAAGTTTGTTTGAAATAATCTTACTCTTCTCTTTCCTCAGTCTGAAAAACACCTTCCTCTTTTATCAGCACTTTGAGATTTGTATGTCAGGGTAGCATTTGCCATCAGAACAGATTTACCATCAGGACAGCACAGGAGAGTTGAGCTGAAAGGTTAACATCCACACTGTGATATGATCATTTTAAAGACTTACTTATCTGGCAACTTAGTTTCCAAATATTAATGAATGAGGAAAGTCTTGAGGCCTTCTCTCATTGAATATCCCCTCAAAAAAAGAGCAGCTGTTTACTACAAGATCTTCTCAGGACTAAATGATACAGATGGTACTTTACAATTCATCTTTACCTGCTCTCAAATGTTTCTTTTCATGGCCACTGCCCTACATACCTATTACTCATCCCTTATTTAACTTCTCTTATTTAACACAGAGTTCATAAAGATGCCATTCCATTTTCTACCTCTGCTCTTTTGAACGTGAATAAGCATACTAAACATCAGTGCCCTTCTGAAGACCTTGTCCAGTAGGTCTCTCACATCTGCTATTGTGACCATGACTGCTAACAGATCTATGGGATAAGTTTGTATTTGCCTAGATTTGTTTTCTTTCTCAAGAGTAGAATTGGTCATTTCTCTATTCTTATTAAGTACTTTTTGCATTATGCATTACCAATACATATTTATCAAAATGGATTAATAAATAAGGTAGTAATTGAGAAGGTTGAGAATTTAAGGTTCCTTCTCTGTTTCAGGGGTAGAAAGGTTGAAACTAGTTTCTGATCTATCAAATGGTGCTGCTGTTGTTTCTGATGTGAAACAAGAATTTATTATTTTAGAGAGGTTTTTTTTTTTTTTTTTTTTTTTTTTTTTTTTTTTTTTTGCTATAGAGCGCGTGCGCTCGCCAGACAGACAGAGAGACACAGAGAGACAGAAAGCAAGAAATCACCCCCCAGTGGGGATGGCCACACTGCAATCCCTTCTCCTTCATTCTCCTCTCGGGATCTTGGGCACGCACGCACACGCGCCCGGCGTGAGTTTTAAACCA